TCATCACCAGCATCACCAGCATCACTGTCATCATCATCATCATCATCATCATCATCGTCATGACATCATCAGCATCATCAGCATCATCACAATCATCGTCATGACCATCATCATCATCAGCATCATCATCAGCATCGTCAGCATCACCAGCATCAGCATCATCGTCATCGTCATGCTCAGCAGCATCACCATCGCCATCACCATCCTCATCCTCATCCTCTTCCTCCTCCCCTCCTCCTCTTCCTCCTCACCAACATCATCGTCATCATCATCGTCATCAGCATCAGCATCAACATCGTCATCCTCATTATCAGCATTGGCATGATCGTCATGGTTCTCCTCCTCCTCCTTCTCCTCCTCCCCATCATCATCATCATCATCATCATCATCACATCATCATCATCATCATCACCACAGTCAGCATCATCAGCATCAGCCTAACCATCGCCATCATCATCACCAGCACCATCATCCTCAACATCAGCATCAGCATCAGCATCAGCATCAACATCATCATCATCATCATCATCATCATCACCATCGTCCTCATCCTCATGCTCATCCTCATCGTCATCGTCATCGTCATCATCACCTTCACCGTCACCACCAGCATCATCATCATGTGATGGTGGTTTTTTGCTCCCGCCATCAACCAGATTTATGGCGCAGGTGCTCGTCGGATCTAAAGCAATCTAGCACCAAGATCTGCTTCTTGTGCAGGTTCGTTTACTTCAGTTGGAGGCATGACTAATGAAGCCGACTTAAGGATTCTGAAATTGTGCGTCTTCTGAAACGCCCTTCGAGCTGGACATGGGATTTGTGTAATGTAAGCTTGAGCCTTTCAGCCCCACATAATGTGCCACTTGCCGCTTGTGCATTTAAGAAGTCCCCAGAGGAAGGGTCCGACTTCTCAGCTTCGAAGTCAAGGATCTCCGTCACAGGAAGCGCTCTCCCACTGGTCGGGTCTTCCTTTCATGGTAATTAGGGCCGGTATCACCGTACATTTGTGTTTTGCTGTGAGATTT